TGATTCCTTGAGACATCCAGCTGTGCTCACATAGTGAGCACAGCATCTCTAGTCCATAGCAAGTCAGGAACGTCCTCAGATTTACCCCCCAGAGATCATAAGGAAGATGTTTGCTAACCTTTCTTCTCATAAGCCAGAAAATGTGTAGCCAAGGACTTTGTCTCTTCTGCCAGTCTGGGAACATTCACACTGTGTGTGTGTGTGTGTGTGTGTGTGTGTGTGTGTGTGTGTGTGTGTGTGTGTGTGTGTGCAGCTTTTTCCTCTGGCTTAGCGGGTAGGGTGTTTATCCATTGTACTGCAGCATTTGGCCTTGAGTCTGACAGTGCCTGGTGGAATGTGGACTGACAACATCTTGTGAGTGACTAAGCAGAGAACACTTCTAGGTGAGAGGAGTCTGACGGTGTGCAAAGCACGTACTACCCTTCACATAGTGGGTGCCTTAAAGTGACCTTGAAGAGTGCAAAGCGGCATAGTATTCTATAAAATCCTCTTACTAACAAATCATTTTGTGCTGACCCCCATTGGATCAGTTTTCCACTGAATTGCTTTAAAGGGTGACCAGCTCCCAGGACATCAGAGCAGCTACAGTTGACTCTTTCTCTCTACTATCTTACTGCCTTTATTTCCATTCATTGCTGACTTCTGTCCCTCACTCAGCCCTCCTAACACCCAGGATCAAATTCAGGGGGCGGGGTTGTTTTGTACATCACTATCAGTCTCTCTCATCAGCTAAAATACTCACTTGTTTTTGTTTGACCCAGCTTCTGACTTAGATGCTTCAGGTCAAAGCCTCCCAACAGAGCACTGGCAAATGTCCTAACACCTTTCACAGGAACAGGCAATCTGTTGACTCAAATGCCACCATTTATTGAGGTCTTTCTAAGCACATAAGCCCCCCACCCATTGTCTGTGTGGTGTGTGTGTGTGTGTGTGTGTGTGTGTGTGTGTGTGTGTGTGTGTGTGAATGTGTGTGTGTGTGTGTGGTTAAACCCTTTTTATCAAGGTTGAATTAAACAACTCAAGGTAATCCTTTGTATCTCCTTTGAGGAGTCTGAGGCCATCGGAGATTAAGAAATCTGTCCAAGGCCATGGAGCTACCAAAGGGCAAAACAAGGCTTCAATCTAATGCCAGTGGAACATAAGGGTTCTGTTGTAGCTACTCTCTTATGTGATCTCCATTCTCAGGAGACAAAAGGTCCAGTTTCTGGACCTTTTCTGTTAGGGTGACGGTCTCCCACCCAGTAACTCCCTACAACATGTGAAAACTTGCTCATGTGCCACATCCCATGGAAATACCCCTATGATATTTACATTGTGACTTAAAGGGCTCATATTTCAAATTTTATTATTTGTGTATATGGGTGTTTGCTTGTGTGCCACATGCATGCAGTACCCACAGAGGCCAGAAGAGGGCATTAGACCCCCTTGGACTAGGAGTCACAGGTGCTTGTGAGTCACCTGACTTAGGTGCTAGGAACTGAACTTGGGTTCTCTGCCGGAAAAGCAAGTGCTCTTAACCACTGCATCATCTCTCTAGCCCTAACTATACTTCAGCAGGGGGAACCTGGATTTGAGCTAGGGACCTCTTGATCTGCTGTCTAATGCTCTATCCCTGAGCTATACCTCCTGATGGGACTCAAATTTTAACAAGACCACACATGGCAGGAGGGAAGTGGAACCCAACACCACAGATGCCAGAAGGCAATGGGCCTCCACGGCATGCACCTTCGTGCACTCCAAGACTTACACCCGACACACCTCTGCTTTATTACGATGACAATTAATCACTTTCCCTTCTCACTTTTATAAGACCCTTGGTTTTTGGCTAGCCCAGTGTCGAGCTGTAATCACATCCCATGGATGCATAGCCCGTGGAGCTCTAAAAGGGCCAGCGTTCCCTCTGATCCCCATTTCATCTAGTCCTGCTCACTGCCTGGTTCCAGGAGGCATTTAAAGCTTGCAGCCTGAATTATAAAATTCCTGGCATAGGGACCACATTACATAGTCTCTGTGCTACCATTGTTGTAGAGAGAGCCACATAGCAGCTGGGAAAGCATAAATGAGGACAAAGGGCCAGCCTATCTTAGCAGCAGTCACCTCCTTGTTGACTGAGCTTCGTCTCTGGTTAGTGTGAGGAATGATAAAGACGAGGAATAATTTCAGAGGACTTAGTACATATGGAGATATCCCTGAGCTCAGTACGAAATGCTGGTAGAGGGTTGAAGTGCAAAGAATATTAAGTTAGGGGTCAGAGGAACCAGGTCTGGTTCCAGTTCAGTTGTCTTCCTTGTCTTTGACCTTGGGCAGCATCAGTTAAGCTTTCTGAGCCCTTTCCTTGTCTGAGAAACGAGGTCATTGCCCTGGGTATCCCTGAAGACTCTTGTAAAGAACAGACAAGACAGTCAAAGAACACCAAGGAGGGGGAAATCGCAATGGAAATGCCAGGTGGTGGCATTTTAAGGAATAACACCAAAAAGATGGAATTAAACCTAGAATTGGAACCCTGAGCTTTTCTTCCCAGGGCTGTGCTCCACCCTCCCACACCATTCCTCCCCCAGGTCCCTTAGGAATCTCAGTCATCAGGCGCTGGGTTTCCAACGCTGAGGATCCATGAACGCAGACTGATACTACTCACTGTCCATCCAGTCAGTTCACATCCCTGTCTTAGTCCTCACAGAGTCTGCAGCTGTGGCCATGGTGAAAGACCTCAGTTACCCAGCTCTCATTTTTCACTCTTCATATGTGTTTGGTGAAAGTTTGGAGCCAGTTTTTGTGGGTGTGGCAAAGAAGCTAGGTGAGGTTTTATTTTTGGAAGGCTTGAGCCTCTGAGGTCATCTGTGAGTTAGGAGTGGCTAGGGTGGGGTGCCACCATTTCTGTTCCACAAATAAAGGGAGAGTTCAGCTCCTGGGAGACTCCAGCCACTGCTGCTTAAGTCTTCTAGCGTCATATCCTTTAGGAGGGGAGAGTGGGGTGTGTGTGTGTGTGTGTGTGTGTGTGTGTGTGTGTGTGTGTGTGTGTGTGTTCCAAGAGGACAACCAAACACTTATGTGATTCAAGGGCTCCTACATGGGCAATTAAAAACTAGACCTTAAATTAAAAGTTACCTATTTTTTTTTTTTTTTTACCAGAGAAGGGTATTTAGAGTCTCATGAACTGCAGCACTAACAGAATAGCAGACTTACCTCTTTTTCTCAGTGGTGATGGGGAAAGGATTTACAGGCTGGAAAACTAATGGTGTGGCAAAAATATACAATTATGCGACTTGAAAGCCGTACAGATAGGGTTCTATTTTCCTTTCCATTTCCTCCCTTCATTTAATGTTAACAGAAGTTCAAGGCAATTAAAAGTCAAATGCTACCTTATTACAGTGTTAAGGCTTAAAATGCACATGCCAAATCGGGCGAATGAGCAGAAATACCGTCATTCCAATAATAAGTCACCCTTGTGGAATGTATAGCATGGTGTGATGATTCAGAGTCACCAGGCTTGGGGTCACAGCCTCCTTTGTCCCAGAGGGTGAACCCTCACCTGTCCTCTGCATGGGTATAAATCTAAGAGTTCATGGGGACCTTTCCCTTTTGATCATTCAGCTAAGGTATTGAGAACAACCAAGTGCCACGCAAATAGCATCTTTGGAGACTACCGTTCTAGAACTCTTTTCCCCAAAGACATGACACGTCTTTTGTCTCAGATGCAGCTGCCTCCTTGTCAGTTCTACCCCTGCCCTTCACCCCTTACCTGACCTACTCTATATACCAAGCATATGCCTCCTCGTGTCTGAAATGCCTCTCCCAAAGGAAAACACATTTGCAGGAGTCCTCCTTCACCCAAGGCCCCGCTTTCTGTAGTTCTAATACCCTGCCATCAGAAAACATCATGGAGAAAATACACAATTTACAAATCTGAAGCTGTGCACCATTCTGAGGATTGTCATGACATTTTGCACTGGCCAGCATGTACAGCTTGGGATATGAATCACTTGTGCACTGTTTCCACACTGTATATACTACCTGCCTGTTCCTCCCTTAGTAGCTGCCTGGGTTATGAGATTGTCTGCTGAAGTATGGCAGTGCTATGTTAAAATATTTTTCATCTAATAATGACTTGTATAACAAGGGTACTGATGTTGGCAATATATATTTATATATTTTGTAATTATATATATTATACTGAAATAAATGTATTTTTTAATAGAATTAAATTCAATATTAAATATTTACCTCATCTGGATTAGCTAGGTAATATGTATGTATAATATATATGTATATATAAATCTTTGGGTCTATTATATATAATAATTTAATTGCAATATATATTGTCAATAATATATGTTAACCTATTTCAATATATTATGATTATTTTATTATTTTTACTGTTAATATTTTACTATGACTAATTAATAAACTAAAATTAATTGAAGGTATAGATAGACAAAAGATAGATAAAAACACACACACTTATTGTCATCACCAACCTCTTATTCCAGATGTTCTAGATGATTGGAGAGGCTAGGGACCTCAGATCTAATTATCCCTGGGGCTTCTATGGTGTGGCTCCAAGGGTGAGCTTTCTGTGGGCTGGGTATCAGCCTTTGGATTTTCTCTCTCTTCAGCACCCAGAAAGCCTGGCTAATTACATCACCTGTCATGCTGTTGATCTTGAAGGAATAGGGGTGGGGTGGGAACACTTCCTAGAGAACACACTAAGCAGTGGGTCTGGACCTGCCTCTTAGAAGGCAGGAATGGCTCCTGGGGATGAGGGATAGCCTAGAGCAGCCAGGGAGGGGAATTCTTTGTGGTGCTAAGCAAGGTGAGCAGTTATGCTTCCTGATGGGAAGCCTGTGGGTCCCAGACCTCGAGCTTGGGCTTTGACTTTTCCTTGGTTTTATTAGCTTACACTCTTGTGAATTCTTCATGAGTCGAAAATCAAAATCTATCTAAGGGACAATCTAAGAGCCACAAACTCACAGACTGAGGCATGATGAGCAGGTGTGACTTACTCAGTATGTGTCTTGGGACAATTCCTCAGTTGCTCTGGGCCTCAGTTTCTTCATCTCCAATGCAGGGATAATCTAGAATACACAAAACACTTGTATGTATGTATTGTTTATATTGTGTTTTTAAAAGACAACTGGGACACAGACTGGCTTTCCTGCAATCTTTTGATGCAGTTCTAAGGAGAAACATGCGTACGTGCTAAAGACAGATACTCTATCAGCTGGGTGTGAGAACCTTCTCACAGGGTCCTTCAGGTGAAGCAGGTGGGTGGTGCATATACACCCAGGCTTCTAGCAACTATATATTCAGAGTCAGAATTGGTGTCATCCTGCTAAATGAAGGCACATGACCAGCAACAACAACAACAACAGCAGTCACACCTTGGCTCTGCCCAGGGCCAGAGAAGCTTAGAGTTCTTGGACAGGAGGTCTCCCTGTGTTCTTCCAGAATGGAAGGGTAGTCAGTCATCACTAATTCCAGAGAAGTTCTTCCTGCCAGAGTAGTGGAGCTGAGGCCTACATGATGTCTAGGTGCTGGAAATTTGAGTCCTTGTGTGCACTGGGGTTTTTCAAAGACGAACAGCATGTCCACCCTGTTTAGCGATTTCTGACATGCACATTCCATCCATTTCTGGGAGGCGGTGGGGTTGCTCTTGAGAGCAGAGGGAGTGACACTAGTGGCTGCCCTCTGGTTGCTCTGTGGTATCTCTGGGTTAGAGAATACTTATGAGTCTCCCTTGGCTGTCTACTGAGTCCCTGTAATAAAAACAACACTATAAGCACCGTTCTTTACACTCAGAGAGGCACATGGTGCTAATATGGATTTGCGCCGATGCAATGTGCCATTTGAATTATTTCCTTGTAGATGTATATGGATCTCATGTCAGGAAGTGTTAGATTAGTATCTACTTTGTGAGCAGTATGTGCTAAAGGGCAGGAGGGGTAAGAGCTATGACATGGCTTTTATCTTAAGGGAGTTTCTTCATGAACCTTAGAACACTGCAAGTTCCTGTTTTGCTTAGCCAGAGGGTAGGTCAAATCGTGCAGCCTCAGAAGCCTCTGGTTTCTTATCACTACCAGGGAAGATAATAATAGCATTGGCTTCACTCATCATCCCGTATTAATCCCAAAGCCCCCAGTAATATGCGTGTGAATTCTTTGTAATTTGAAAATGCCCTGCAGAGTAGCTTTTGTGGCTTTGAGGCAGAGTTCTGCATCCCAGGCCGCCCTCCAACTTGTTATTTTACTGAGGATAACATTGAATTTCTGACCTCCCTGCCTCTACTGTACCCTACCACTCTTCCCAGACCTGTTTTTTTTTTTTTTTTTTTTTTTTTTTTTTTTTTTTTTTTAAATCTTTTCATCTTCTAAGCCTCATTTAGAACCTTGTTTCTCTTGGGAAACTTCCCTGGATATATTACAGGTCAGTGTCTTGGCTCTGTGCCCTTTACTGTCCCTATATTCTTGCCAGAGCCCATGTCAACATTAGGGTAATTTCTTATTCCATCATCCTACCTCCTATCCACGTGAAATCTCCTCCCATGATGGGATCACCATTCCTGACCTTCCTGAGTGCTGGGATTACAGGTGTGTGCCATCATGCCAGGTTTTATGCTTTGCAGGAGAATCGGACCTATGGCTGTGTGAATACTAGGCGGGTACCCTACTCACTGGGCTATATCCTCAGTTCCAAATAGTAGTTTCCAAATGCTAAACTAAGAGCCAGCAAAGGCTACAATGTGAGTTCTATCGGACTAGAGAGATAGACGTGGGCTCTAAAGGGGGATGGCAAGAGGAGTTGAGGCTGTGCTGGTCCATATTTGAATTTAGTCTTTACACGAGGGTTGGACATGCTGATGGGGAGAGTGGGCTGTGGGGTGAATGAAGACTACCTGGCAAAGTTGCTACAGAGGGACAGGGACAGTGGCATGCATAGAGTCTCAGTATGAAATACCAGGAGACATGTGAGAAATGGCATCAGGGAGACTCTGAATGCTTGCTATAGGCTCAGTGCAATGACCCTCACAGGGGTTCCAGAAGCTGTGGGCAGAGACCCGATAACACGAATGTTTCAGTGGTCCCATCTCATGTCTCTCATAAATGAAAGGGCACCTTGCCAGAAGTCAGGGTTATCCAGCTTTAAGCAGTCACCCCTGAGGCCAATGGCAGTCTGTAGGCAGAATTTTATGTATATTGCAATTAAAAACTTTTATTCATAGCAGACTTTCTCCCTTAGGCAGACGTTTGATTATGATCTGAAATGAAGAATCACCAAACAAATAAGAAAGAAGGTGTTATTTATTGACCTTCTTGGGAATGGAGGCAGGAGCAAGGATACCTGAATACTTACTTCTCACCTTTGAACTGACACCAAATGGGCTTAGCTTTAGTTGTGATTGAATTGAGTGCTATTACAACCTCATACTTACAACTTCTGAATTTGGGGGTGGCTGGGGAGTGGGTCTTATCATGTAGCCCAGGCTGGCCTCATATTGGAGCTCCTCTGGCCTCAGCCTCTCTAGCGCTGGAATTAGAGGCCTACACTATCACACCCAGCTCAGTGATTCATTAACAGATCCTGTAAACAGTTTTTCTTTGAGGCACTGTGAGTAGAAAAGGGAAGGACTGCTTGTCCCATTTCACAGGTGAATAAAGAATATGGATTTGTTCAGAGTTATAAGGCCACTGTATCATCACAGGAAGACAGGTTGTAGTTTTGTGTCCCTATGTGATGCACTCATCACCACACTAATGCCTGAAAAAGCAACAACCAGGGCGACAAACAGTGGCCACCAATCACTCTGAAAGTTTATGACACCTCTTTCTCAGACTCTGAGACCTGTGGTTCCCATCCTGCTTTGGAGTCCCACACAAGCTTCTCTATCTGTACCCCATCATCGTTCCAAACACCATCGGATTTCTTAGTCTACCCATCTTCTAGACCTCAGCTAAAACCTTGTTCCTCTTAGAAAAACTTCCTGGGTCATGTTAAAGGTCAGAGTCCCAACTCTGTTCCCCTCACAGTGTTGTACTCTTATCCATGGCAGCATTAGGGCAATTTTTACATTCAACCGTCCTCCCTCCTTTCCACATGGAATCTGCTCTCATCATGGGATCCCCAATACTCTGGTATCAATTTCATTTTGAGAAACATTTACCACGTTAATGAATGGACATCTTTTCTAGATGAGAAAACTCTGAGGCTTATTGAAATTTAATGACTTGTCCAAAGTCTCACAGCTATCAAAGATGCATGGCAAAAATTTCTACCTGTGAATACCCAGCACTTGCCCAGGCACACTGATGTCTAGGTTCACATACAGCACTGTAGTCAAAGAAAAGATTCCCAGAAAAAGTGCACAAATTGGAATTTCAGCATTCCACATCTAGAGAACTCTTTTAGCCTGGCCACTGCTCAGATGCCAGATGTTCCTGGGACTCCCAGAGTAGGCACACTCTGTAGGAAAAGGTGATTGGACTCAGTGGACATTAGCCCTTTCATGGGACACCATATGGAATTTTAAGATGACATTACTTGTCATGACTGCTCCCATGTTTTTGGAAAGCCCTGCCTGATCATGTGTTTGACATATCTGTGTTCTTGAACTGATGACACTTCACATAGTGACACCAGCTGTCACACAAACTGAGTCCAGGGTTTGTGTGTGTGTGTGTGTGTGTGTGTGTGTGTGTGTGTGTGTGTGTGTGTGTGTGCATGTGAGTGTATATGTAGTATCTTACTACCCCATTGTTATTACTACAAAAAGTGTCTGTGTCCCATTCTTCCCAAAGGGACTCTCTGTGCTGTCATCTAATCTCCATTATTGAGCCTGGGTTGTTGACATCACTAAGGCTGAGAAAACCAAGAGCTGCCATTTCTGGTCCCTGCAGTACAACAGTTTGTTTCACTTTCATCTTGCTACCTACTATATCCACAAAGGACATCTCTCTTTTTTACAACTTCCCAGAAAATGCTGCACAATGAAAAATAAACACTCTGCAGCTCTCTGGGTAAAAGACTCAAACCTGAGCTGAAGACACACAGTGCTTAGACATTTGTTTCTTATTGGGGCACTGGGTGAGCACAGGGGAAGCACTGTAAGGCAGGATTAGTTATGTGTCCCAAAGGGAATTCAGACAAATGGTTATGGGAGCAGCAAGGCAGGATGAGTTCATCTCTGTGAGGGATGTGTGGAAGGATCCAGGCAGGTGAGCTTTGAGAGGACATCTGTAAGATGACAAGGCATCAAGGAAGGGAAAGGAAGGTGAATCCTGCTTGCTAAAGGAGAGAGGTGGTCCCAGGAAGAATCCAATTAAAGTGCTTCAGGCTCCAGCTCAGATCTGGAGGTTTCCAACCTCCAGGTTACTATGACAATACTCAAGCAGCCTCCTCCTCCGACCCTCCCTCTTTGTGGGCCTTTCTCCAGCTGCTTTAAATGTCAGGGCATTCCAGGGAGCACCCTGGCACATGGCAGGGATTCCTCAGGGCCATAGCCTTTAGAGGAGACTATTGGGAAGCTTGCTTTCCCTACATATTTCATGAGGTATTATGACTTGAAAGTCCAGGGGTGGGGAGTCACTGCTGACATACCAGGCCTGAGAAACTTCAAGTATTTTTCATGTTTGATCAAGGAAGCAGTGAACAGTGGCGGTTTTTTTTTTATCTCCTCCCACCCCACCCCCCACTCCACCCATGCTTTATCTCGTTGCTCATCTTTACATTTGATATAATTCTGACTTCAGATCTGTCACAAGGCCTTGGGCAACTAAAGCTGGTTGGGTTCAAAGAGATTCTCATTGTCTTTCTCTAAACACCCCATACCCCCCATATACACACTGGGGAGAGAGAGACAGAGACAGAGAGAGACACACAGAGAGAGACAGAGACACACACACACACAGAGACAGACAGACAGTAGAAGGAGAAACAGAGGGAGAGGGAAAGGGAAATGGAGGAGAGAGCTTGCATAGCGACACTGCCAACATTTAGCATAAATTTGTGGAAACCAAATGATGTTTTGGGGAATACCTGGACCACTCTGTGGGTGAGAGCTGAGGGATGGGGAGTGTGAAAG